TTTTTTTCCCCAGCGGTACTCCTACGTTTTCGGTGCATCAACAATCAGCTACATGTCGTGTAATAAATGGATTGATAAACCATGATCTCTCCGAACAGATATTTTACCGACATTTCCCATTAGTTTTCCAAGTGCACAAGGCTGTTAATGTATCGTATAGCACCGGTGTGGTATACGTACGGTGGATACACTTCTGATATTAATAATTCGAACATGTGTTGCTGTTGTTCGGGAAATATAAATCGTATTGACATGTCATTGTTGACCATTGTTGATTTCGAGTAATATATCAAAGACAAAACAAAAAAAAAAAAAAAATAAATTCGAAAACACGGTGTTCGTTGAATTTATAAATGTCTATATACGAGACTGAATATATTTGTTTGAAAGTTCACGCGATGTTGTTTATAGTTCACCGAAACGTCGGAAACTTTCCATCGTCTAGTTTAGTGATTTTTGTTTTAAGCGTTTAGAATACAGCGAAGAAAAATTATGTTTTTTTTTATTCTAGTCGATAAGTAAAACGTTTATTTTCTCGGGACGAGGAAATGTCATTTAACAGGCTTAACCGTGTTTTAATAAGCTCAAATATCGTTCTACGGATGTACCTGATTTTTGTTTCAAGTTTGATTTACAAATTCAATTGTTTTTCGAACTATATTTCTATTTCGTTCGTAGTGTGATGGGTCTATTCCCGCGGATCGTTCAGTTTTGGTCGTGCTAGAGCTAAAGCCTGACAATAGAAGGTTTGCTATTCGCCAAAAATCTTAACCGATAAGAATCGTACAGAATCTCTAAAACTGTTGACGAACAACAATACGGGGCTGGCCGATAAACGTTATAGGACACGGATACGTAGACTCGATCGACAATCGTGACGAACAGTTTTATGATTTATAAGCGTGCGGCTACAACTGCTGGTAATAAATCTATTATTTATACGTTGTTTACGATCCGCAGTGGAAATGCGTTTCGATTTTAATCACGCGACGACACTTTTCCTCGCGCGAGAAAGCGAAAAAAAAATAATTGCTTTCGTAGACCCTCTGTATATGGTCGGGATCGCGCGTCGGTCGCTTTTCAATCGCATCTCGACTCGTACGACAACCAAACGTTTGGTCTCCGGTTGGGAGCCGGTCGTCGTTAGCGTAACGACTTCCTTCGTACGCGTTGCAACGGACACGTTACCGGAACGCGTATCGCCCGTCAATTGCACTGCCGCGGCGACGGAGCCTATATTGTAACTAGGGCTCGGAAGTTGATGCATTTTGCATTTTTTTTTTTTTTTGGAAATTTTCGGACAATGATTTACCTGACCACAAATGTGTTTCGTTAGTATGTCGTAATAAATGATGTCAATAACTAATTTTTATTTTGCATTTTTTTTCTTCCATTTTATGGTGTTTATTACATTTTAAGTCGTTTTTTTTTTTTTTTGTCATTCTTATGTCATGTTTGAATCTTTTTTTCAGGTCGTTTTTTATTGTGTTTAAGGTCATCGATTTCCGAGCCATAATTATAACTACCATATTGACGTGTGTTTCTCTCTACGGATTACCGATCAATAAAGAAATTAAAACGATAGCAATCGAACTCGTTTACACGGATCCATCGCGCTGCCAACGAGCTACGAAAAGAGTCGCGAGCGAAACCCCCCGATCTAGAAACACGTTCCGTCACGAGAACCGCGACTTTTAGACGCGGCGAAGTCAACCGCTGACACCGTCTGCGGCGCTTCGGATCGGTGGCTGTGGTGGTCGCGTGCAGAGGCGGCTTGATCATGAATTTTGTGGTTCACTGAACTACCGAAAAGTTTGGGGCTGGTGTCATTTTAATGGGCGGGTACTCGGCAACTGGCAGCGGTGGGTAATATAAAATCGGTAATTTAATAGAAATTAGGTAAGTGTTCGTACCTAATACGACTTTTCGGTAGGTGGTATTAACCACGTTTGAACCACCAACTGAAAACCGATCGGAACGATCGTAATAGTGATCAGCAACAGTTGAGTTATTTTTGTTGTACGTCTTATTTAAAAGTATCAATTTTTTTAGGTTTTAAAACACGTTTCACATCAGTTAGTGCATGATATATGTTTATACATCAAATTAAATACCTACAACGGTTGTATATTATACTTCACTACATATTTATGTAGTAGATTTATTTAAGTAGCTTATGCAGGTATGTTGTATGCCTACTCGAATGTTCAATGGACTCATTGTTAAATAAATATAATATTACTCTAAATTATTCTTACCTGAATTTTAAAAAATAATTTTTTTTACTATAAAATAATAATATAACACTATTAAATAATTGCGTGTTTGTGAAGTGTAGTTTATTTTAGGCTGGGACTAGGGGGCCCCCCAAGTGTATGAAAGCTTTGGGGCCCGTGTGCGCGGCACACTCTGCACACCCGGTTTTTGCGGCATTGGTTACACGGCTTTCTGAGACCGAATAGAAAAAAATTAATTTTCGTCGTCGGTTTTCTTGGAATTCTCGGATCAACGCTGTAGTAGTTACGTTTAAGGCGGCCGCGAACATATTACGTTGCTTGTATAAACGTGTACGCCCATCGTTTTGTTATCGGTTCGTTTCATTTTCTCCAGCCGAATTTTAATGTTTAATCAGCGTTCGCTGGCAATAAGAGGGCTGCATACTACTTGCGTCCCCCCAAAAGGTATAATTTTTTCAGGTAATAAATTCAACAGATAACTTGCGTCCCATCTTGGGTACGCAACTCCACCATATTATTTCTCAAGTATGGTCGAATTGCACTTGGGTTTAAAAAAGGTAATAGTCGAACTGCACTCGGGTAAAAAGCAGGTAGTGGTCGAACCGCACTTGGGCTCAAAAAAGTATTTCAATAAAATTATCATGCATTTGAAGGAGTTTGATCTATTTTATTTAGTTACATTTATTACCATTTAGTAATCATTAGCGAGGTTAAAAATTATTGTTTTATACATCACATTATTATATGTTAATTATATATATATATATTTACATTATAATTTTTTATATTATACATTATATATTGATAGACCTCTTAAGAATTTCTAAATTCTCATAACCTTAGTCATTAAAAATTACAAATATTTTTACCTGATTATAATTAATGTTTATAGGTTTAAAGATGTATTTGAATCAAATAAGTTTCAAATAGCAACCTTGTTAACTCCAAAATTCAAGTGGAATTGAACTAACTCCAGTGATATTAATAACTTAAAATAAAAACTGAAAAATACTATATCAAATTTTATTGATATATCTGATAATGAAAATGAAGTGAATACAATTTCAAATGCAAATGAGGATTTTTTGGAATTTGAAGAAATTCATAGTTCAAATACAATTTTAAATAGTGCATCAAATATTTTACAAGAATATATATTATTTCCTGAAAATCAAAATATTAATTTATTCTCACATCTAGCATTTAAACAAGCTTATTATAAAATATAATACAGCAACACCATCAAGTGCTCATGTAGAGCGCCTATTCAGTGCCGGAGGTCACTTACTAGAACAAAGACGTGGGTCTACGTCAGATCATAATTTTAAAAAATCATTGTTGTTAAAATTTAATAAATATTTTTTTGGAATAATTGCAAAATAAAGATAAATAAATTATATTATATTTTTTATATATTTATATAGGTACATAAATACCATAGTAGATATTTTTTAAGTTACTAACTTTTTTCTAACTTAGTTGATGTTTTAATCAACCAACTTATAATCTAACTAAGTTACTATATATCATAAAATTTTTAAGTGACTCATATACGTAAATAGTTAGTTCTTTTTTTTTTAATATTCTAACTTAAATCAGTTAGTTGCCAGTGGTCAACGGAATCGGAGTATTGCATAGGCAATTACTCGTACAGGTGTACATTTGAACTAATCGGCTTCAGTACCGAACAAGGCGTTCTTGTATCGTTCACCGTCCATCGCTATTATTTCTTGGTCACGGTAAGCAGGGCTTGGAAGCTGTAGCATTAGCGTACTTGCACAGATCTATTGGCGAATCTTAGAAAATTTCCGTCGAAGAACTGAAATATAAATAATGGTGTCTTTCCAACTTTAAAAATATTAAAAGGTACACCGAATGATTAACAGTATTAGTTAAATTTAAACGATGGAATGAAAAACACAAATTTTTTGAGAAGTTATTTCCACTCTGTTTTTGTTTTTTTTTTTTAAGACTGCTGAACGACCAAAAAATAACTTTACTGAACACGCGTCACACATGCAATGTAAAAATTTGCTACACGAAAGATTAATTAAAAACCAAAACAGACATTTTACGAACAAATACTTCTCGTTCACTTGCAGTTAACCAGTGGTGTTCCGATAAAAATGTATATTTGATACATGTTTTAGTATTTATATTTTTTTTTTATAATCGTGCGAAGATTGACTTAAATACATGTATTTCATGTACCAGTGGTGGTTTTAAATTTTGCCACTTCATTTTCGGTCTCTGTACTCTTTGTGATGTTATACACACACAATCAACAATCAAATGTTTGTTCTTGGTTATTGAATTATTTTAACACTTTTCTAGCGAAGTTTTAAATTGGGATAATTTAGAAAACACCGGTTCGAAAATTTACAATGTTACATACATGAACAATTTCGGCAAAATATACCGAACAATAATTGTTTGTGTGAATAAAATGATATTATATATCCATTTGAACCAGAAAAGTAGATGTTGCCACATGATACTCCTTAATAGGTACAGAAAATCCGTGGAAAATTTAGTCTTCAAGTAGATATAAACAATTATAGAATCAACAAGTGCACAGTACAAGCACAAAAAAAAAACGTAAACGTACTCGACGAATAACCTTTTATTTATTGGGTATAGAACCACGGACAATTAATTAAAGATTCACCAATCCGCCGAGAAATTGCCACGCGGAGCGCTTCGATCATGTGCTCGTTGCCGTATTACAGCCGCAGAAGGATTCTTACTCTATTTTAGTATCGAGTGACGAGTCGGCCGGTGGCTTTCGGCGTTCCATTTCAAGTTCCAGGATTTAAGAGTAAGTGTTCATGTTTCATTACTAATTACCATCGGTATAATGCTTGATACGGTTTTTTTTTTTTAACATTTTCTCATTACCATAAGCAAAATATTTAAGAAAATCGATTTTATTAAACTTTACTTGGGTTTTCTTCATTATATTACAACGAAGAAAATCCAATACTATGTCATTCTATGTTGATTTACATATTACGTGTAATTTTACAAGACAAAGTAGTCTAAAGACCACAAGTTTAAGCCCGAGCGGTTTTAACTACGTAAACGTTTTTTTTTTTTTTTTTTTTTATTGGTAACGAAAAGTGTTGACTACCGATTCGATTTACTTTTTAACCATCACAAAGTTGACCCATTTATAATTATGTTAAACATATTCATAAGTTAATTTTTCGATTCTATACGAACTTAAATCCCACGCCTGTTTTAATAATTTGGGCACTATTCGTTTTGTAGATGATTAAAGATGTAACTGCCGGAGAAGCACGCGAGTTCAATTCTGTCAGTCGGTCACAAAAAAGCTGTTAAAACAATCAAAACCAAATGTGTATTGGTGGGTTAGAGGTAAAAGTACACAGATCAATTGGAGATGTTAATTCCACACGAGAATTTCTATCAAATCGCTATTTCGAGAAAATAATAATACGTCGTTAATAATTATATTATTATTTGTTTTATATTACTTTTATATTTTGAATAATGATAAAAAATATCAACCGTAGTACTCTATAATAATATTATTATTGTATAGCGTGTTATTAGTTTGAAGAGTTAATTTTTGCGTTTCATTAAAAAAAAAAAGCAGACGTAACCGTTACCGTTATTGAACACATTACTTCGGTTGATCTGTATTTATTTTGTATTTTATTACTGATACTTGAAATAGTTGCAGAAATGTGATCGGATGGGTGATTTCCAATTGCGGCTCAAACGATGAAGTGATTTCTTTACGTATTTTCGTACAGTTGCGTCATTCTTCCGTTATTTTACAGGTATGTTGACAACGATGTACTATATAAAATAAGATTAATTTATGTGATATTATACAGAAGTACCGTAATCATACAAAAATTGATGGATGTAATGCCGTACTCGTGTTGCCGGACGTCTAATGGACATTAAAGTCGGTCGTTTAAGCAACAGTTTAAAATCAGTGATTTCAAAATCCGAAAAACCGAAATCCGCACCTGACCAATAGTCTTACTAAATATTTAAAAATTCAAATATCCAAAAAGGTATTTTCTTTTTTATTTTATTGTTTTAACCCATTAGTTTTACTAATTATAATAAATGTATTTTATTATGTTTAAATTATGTGCAAATGATTTTAATGTAATTATCAAACTAATTATAAAATAAACTGTACACACTACACATAACGTATAGAATATAACTGAAACAGCTATTGACTAGTGTTTATAGAAATGTAGACCATGATTTATATATGATAATTAAATAATTATGTAGCTCTATGTACATGTACCTATAATTGCAGATTTTAAATAGTCAAATGTTTGGCCAAATATTTTTTTAATTAAATATAAAATAATAAACAAGCCTTATTAAAATAAATAAATTAATAAATACAATTACTTATAGCTATTATTATCTATGTTTATAGCTCTCGTATTACGCTATGTACATATTCATACGATATCAATGTTTAGTATCAATATTTTTGGTAACTTGACACGGTTAACATGTATCAAATAATTGTGATAACCATTGTTGATGGACCCATTTTTTTTTTATCATTTGTTAAAAGCTATGAACTATAAAAGTATAAAAAAAATAGTATCTTGATTCACGTTAAAAACTGAAAAATCAAAAATTAAAATCATTTAAATGGTATTTCAAAATTTAATCAAAAATCAAAATCCTTTTTAAATTTTATTTTAAAAATAAAAATTTGAAATAGATTTTAAAAATCCAAAAGATTTGAAATCATGCCTAGTTAGTATATAGGTAGGTATTTTATACGGTAAAATTAATTTTTTTATTTCTATGTTTAAGTGAAATAAATCAATTTCTTTGATCATCGTTCAACCGATCAATGCCTAGAAGCTTCAAAGCCATAAGCTAGTGTAACAATTGTCGAGAACGTTGACACTAGGATGTTGGACGATTACCAGAAAAAAGCCAATTGAACCAATCATCGGAGAAAACGAAAACTACTTCAGGGTTAATTTAAAAGTGGATGACGGTGGTGGCTGATCCGTTATCTACTAAATTACACAACGAATAATCTGAACGTTTCGATTAAGAACTATCTGTATAATAAAGATATAGGGACAATTGTTTGTTTAATATCCATAAATATCCTCGACAGATTTGATATTTGTTTTTTTTTTGTCTGAGAATCCTACTTTAGAGTGTTTCAATGGTTTTCAAACTGTGTTCCGCGGATCCATAGGGCTTCACGAGAGATGGTTTAACTTGATTTGCGCTTGATTTGATTTGTTCGTTTTAGTGACACCTATTTAAATTTTAACTCAGACTTCTGATAAAATTTGGTGGTTCAAACTTCATTACTTATCTGGTATTTTCACAAAATAAAATGAAGTACATTAAAAACATTACAAAATTGAGAAAATCCAAACTTCTATAAAAATACATTTTGAACTGTGTGTTTTTCTCAATATAAAATATTGATAGTTATTGTAGTCTCGAATATAAATTCCTGATTTTCGGAAATCCGTTAATTTTTTTTTATAAACATAAAGGCTTCGTGAACAAAAAAGTTTGAGAACCACTGAATTCATTAACAAATATTTTAACATTGGCTATTTTTATATAATTTCATTCTTTGCGTTATTCTTAAAACCTTATTTCAATATTTAGAAAATATACGAAACATTATTGTTAATTGATAACAATTTAATCAATTTTAACACTCTAATAGTTTCAAATACTAAATTTATAAATATGTGAATACATACTATTAAAGCATATCTTTTTATAAATTTTCTCAATTTTAAAGCATTCCTGATTGAATAATTTGTAATTTTTGTGTTTGTTATTAATAAAATATAATATATATAATAAAATTAATTTATAGATGACAATTTATATAATACATATTAAATTTATTTAAATTAATGAATATTAATTTATATATTTATATAAATACAGACAGTAATAGTCAATGTACAACTACAATAAAATTAACAGTCATCTAACAAAAATAATATGTTACTGAATAATGAAAAATGTTTAGTTTGTTATACAATGAGAAAAATTAGAAAATTTGACTATTAGATTAGAAAGTCATATGGGCGTTTATGCTTAAGTCAGTGTATTAAAGAAGAGTTACCTAGTCGCTGAAATTGTGCACTGCTAACAACATTTAAGTGATTGAAAAATTGTTGGATATGCTAATATATTTTATGTAGCTGAAAGTAAAGTTCTTCTAAGTCATGTACCGAAACATACAATACCGTTAATGATGTATTTACCAAAAAAACTCTAGTTGATTAGTTTTTAATATTTAATTTTCAAATTTTACATATTTTAATATTTTCTCAGAAAAAGTATTTCAACAGTTGCTTTGGTTGTTAAAAATATAGCTCCATTATATTTGTATTATTTGATCACATTCTTTACTTATTTGTAAATAATATTTTACATGTTATAATCAAATTATTTAAGCAATGGTTCATTTATTTAACTTTTAATCAAGAACATAAATGCATTCGTTATTATAAAGGTTTGGAAGTTAATGGAATTAAAATAAGCAAAATGTACAAAATGAAAAATTGTCTAATAGGTATAAAATGATGCTAAATAAGTATAATGAGTACCTATACAAGAAAAATGTATAAGTATGTTAAAAAAAAATGTAATATTAATTGTCTAACAATTTAGATATCACACATCACTCAAGATTATTAATTATTAGGTTTAGGTATTAAAAAAAATTTTAAATTCAAATTTTAAAATATTAATTTTTTTTTTTAATACGAAATTGTTTGATTTCTTTCATGACAATATTATTTCAGTCTTTAAAATAAAAATATAGAAAGCCTGTATTTATAAATTTGCAAATCGTAAATAGTATAATTTTGTTCTAAAAAACTTCCACAAAGAAATTTCTCATCACTTTCAAAGTAGATACGAATAAATTGATATGTATTCAAATTATAATATAGTAATATTAGTTAAACCACAAATTATGCGTGATGAAATTAATACAATTTGAAATAACAAATATGTAATATAAAATTAATCTTATGCTAATATTATTGTATTATATTATATATTGATGGAAATAAACTTATTATTATATTATTATAAATTATTAAAACAATTGGTAAAATTAAAACAAAAAATTTAAATATCAATTTTGGACCTTCATTTGTTCATATTGAATTTTGTAAAATCAAAAAAAAAGCACAGTAGATTTATTTTGTAAATTTTTTTCTATCACAGACAATTAAAATACTTAATTTTAATAGACCTTGGTTTGTTAGCGCTTTAAAATGTGTAACTATCTCTGCGATTCCGAAATAGTAAATATTTTTGAACGATTTGCTTGTTTAGTTTAAAATGAACCTTCGCATCACTTAATACCATGTATTCTACCGTTGACAAATGATCAGAAATAAAAGAAAATAACAATGATTTAAAAACGAATTTCCTTATTCTGTGAACATTTCCCAAGGAAAACTTTTAGTAATGCGGAGACCAGTGTTTGCCGTAAACTGTATTTGTTTCATGTTTAATGATTTGGTCGAAAAACAATATTAAAAAAAAATATTTCGCTTACCACACGACTATTGGTTATTTTCTATACCAAACAAAATGAAATTATTTGGTAGTAATACATTTATTCCAATACGATAAATGCAATAGCAAAAAATGTATTCTTTTGATTAACGTAATGCATGTAATATTTATAGCCAATAACTCGGTGAACCATTACCATATACTATAATAAAGCACAAAACACATTTTAGGACCCACTCTCGTTCATTAAAATTGATAAAATTAATACGTATTTCATATGAACCATGTGGTAAATAACATTTGTTTCATTAACTACGGACTTTTCCTGTTATCGGTTAAAAAATCGGCTTACCGGTCGACTACGTTTGAACTTATAGAAATCAATAAAGTTAAAAGTATTACGCTGTTTACATTAAACATTCAAATATTTACTGTGACTTGAAATGACGTAACGTGCGGTGCCACATATCATAAATAAATGTGTTGAGCACGTACAGATCGATTAGATGCGTCTACTCAATCGATCGATTTTGGTCCGGATAAGACGGATTGATCATAGATCATAATCGAGTCTAAAAAAGATCAGCTCTTATGATTTAGAAAGCTGTTGTTCAATTGTTTTTAGAAAACCTTGATATTTTTATTTGTAACGATGGTTGTCGCGAGTATCGTGAGCGTAAATTTACGATTGTTACACGATTGTAAGTGCCGTCATTAACTCGTAACAATTGTCGCTCGACGGTCTACCCTATTAATTGACCAGATCAACATATTATCTTAAATCAACGATTACATTTTATGTGACAACATTTTGATGAATCCATTATTGTCCCACTTGGACTGAACCATTTGCATGTTCTCCACAACTATTGCACAGTTTTTGTCTTATTTTATTATCACTTTCACGTAATCACTTGTATTCATATCCCATCGAGAATAATAAGTTTTTAGAAGAAAAAAAAATATAACTTATCATTGATTTTTAAAGTATAATTTGAGTATTATAAGTAGGGCTCGGAATTTGACTATGAAAAAGAATTTTTTTTAAATACGTTTCATTTAAAGTGAAGTAGCTGCAGTACGTCAATATTCATGAACTGTTCGTTTGATAATGATTTTATAAAATCCATTTTCTCGGATGTTTAATCTGCTTGTCGTTGTTAATTATACACAACAAAATTACGTTATTCGATGTACACTATTGATATGACATACTGAATTATACAACTGGATATGTTTTGAAATATTTCCGTTCATCGAGTATAAAAACATTTGAGATACCCAATTTTCACCATCGGCGCATTTTCGATGAAAATGGATATGGAAACATAAAAGACTAAATCATTTTTATCAACGTTTTTCGATTGTTTGGCCGTGAATAAGGGTACAATAAAATTTGAATATTATTTCACAGTATTCTAATCCACTATGAAGTGGTCATAAAAATTGACTAATATTAGTATTACGCGGCGGACACTTACGCATTGAAAACCTCGTTTATAGAAATGTGCAGAGCCGTACCGAGCCATTTTTTATCCTGAGGCAAAATTGAAGCAATACACCTCCTAGGTTGTAGGGTTGTCACACTCAAAGCTTTTAATATGTATAATACGATTTGGAAAAATCTGAAAAATTGTTATTAGATTTCTAGTAAAAAAAGAAATAACATTTCTTAAAATAAGTTAATGATTTAATATTTTTGCGCCCCTCAGCTTTAAGTGCTCAAGGCAAGTGCCTCGCTCGCCTCACCCTAGTTTCGGTTCTGGGTTCGGTTTTCAGAGGTTTTTGTTAGTTACGGCTAGCTACAAATCGGTGATCATTTTACACATGATAAATGGATGAAAAAATAAGCGGTTTCACACAGATTGGTAGGCTCAAAGTAAGTATGTTAATTTCACATACATTTTTACGCAAGTATCAGCTGATTGTACACTTTACGTATATTTTATTTATTTTTACGTGTCGGTGATAGGTTATGATACCGGATTGATTGCATTTAAATGATTTCAATTAAAACGATATAGTATAATATTTGTACACTTTTGATAACTGGAATCGATCCTTATTATTTTCAGTGTGCTTCAGCGCGTAGAGAACCTATAGGCGCAAATCTAAGGGAGCAGAGATGGCAATTGACCTCCTTAATTTGGTATGTGGGCGGGCAATTTATCGATATTCGATGGTCAGTTTTCAGACATATTAATAAGCATACATCAATACACTTTTATTACGTAATTTATATAATGCGAGCGCAGTGATCAATTTTATTTTTTTTCACAGGAGGGCATTGAATACTTTGGTTTTGCCTCCCCATAAATCCAACTAGTTTTCGCCTTCGGATGTAATTACTTATAAGCTCTATGTATGCGTTTGTGGTATTTTTACCCTGAGCTTGCAATGTGTGCAAATATTATTTAGTGGTTTTTTCGTCGGAAGTTTAATTGGATCAAGCATATGAATGTTTGTAACAATTATAAATTAGTCACCACCTAAAAACCGATTGGTTATAAGCAAATCAAAGAAAATCAAGTTTCAAGAGCATTCGCAATAAATCGAATACTAAAATATTGTTTGAAGTTATTTAGCACGCTGTGTAACGAACGAT